CCACAACCACCAAAGCCTGTGGGCCCAGCTCGTCTTCCTCCTCCTGTGAGAGCTCTCTGGCCGCTGCCACAACGCCAGGGCCCAAACCTTCCATCTGCTGTAGGTGAACCAAAAACAGCTGATAGCAGCTCTCAGTGATATGTGTCGGGTCCCCGCTATAATAGCAGCAACATTCACAAATGTTTACAGAACAAGCGGGAACCCAGCGTGCCTGTAGTTTTCTCTATTTCTGTTTTATCACGTCATAGAAAGTCTAAGGCCTTCTCAAGCTGTACGGCTGACTCATCTAATCTGCGGCCTGTTATGCATCAAACTAATATTGCTGTTGAGACAAAATGCAATGCCATCAAGTTAGCATTTTTAAACATTCGCTCACTAAAAAATAAATCATTTCTAATCAATGACTTAATAACCACAAACAACCTGGATTTTATGTTTCTAAACGAAACATGACTAGAAGACAGCTGCAGTGCAACGGTCCTCAATGAAACAGCCCCTCCTAACTTTACTTTCATGAGTGTTTGCAGGACTGTTAGGAGAGGTGGAGGTGTAGCTGCTCTATTTAAATGAATATAAACCTAACAGACCACTCAGATCATTAGGATCGAGTCAGTTAGAAATACCAAGGGTTCACACAAAACAAGGGGAGTCTGCTTTTAGTTATTATGCCGCCTGCAGTTGGAATCAGCTTCCAGAAGAGATCAGATGTGCTAAAACATTAGTCACATTTAAATGCAGACTCAAAACTCATCTGTTTAGCTGTGCATTTATTGAATGAGCACTGTGCAATGTCCGATCTGATTGCACTATATTTTATGTATAATCATTTTCTATTCTTAACTGTTTTAAATTCATTTTAAACCTCTTAAATCAATTTTTAAATCATTTTCAAAGTTTTTAAATTCCTTGGTTTATTGTTGTGATTATTTTTTTTATTATTATTTTCTTTTCTTTTATGTAAAGCATTTTGAATTACCATTGTGTATGAAATGTACTATATAAATAAACTTGCCTTGCCTAAATCAAAAATGGGTCCGTCTTAATTTCATTTCTGCAAAGCAACAAAATGTGATTATTTTAAAGGGGGGTGATTCTTTTCTATGCCCACTATAAATGACTTGTATTGGAAGTACAATAGAAACCATACTAATCCTAAAATCATTCTTTTAGTCTTTTGAAGCTACCTTACAAACTTCAAGTCTCTGCAAAATGCACTAAAAAATCTTACTCATGAACCTGAGTTGAATATGAACAAAAGACTGGTGCCAATGGAGTCTGTGCAAGAGTGAAATGAATACTCAAATTAATGCTATTTATCAATAACACAACCTTTGTTTTAAATGTAATTTATTCTGGTGATGGCAAAGCTGAATTGTCAGCAGCCATTACTCCAGTTTTCAGTGTCACATGATCTTTCGGAAATCATTGTAATGCTATGCTGATTTGCTGCTCATGAAACATTTCTTATTATTATCAATGTTGAAAATGCTTGTGGTGCTTAATAAACAGTGATGCATATTTTTCAGGATTCTTTTCAGGATTTTAATGTGTCCTTGCTGAGCAAAAGTATTAATTTCTTTAAGAAAAAAATTAAAAAGCATACTGACCCCAAACTTTTGAAAGGCAGTGTATTGTACATATGTTAATATTTCTATTATATGTATATAAATATATATACACACACCATGCACTCCACCTTTTCTCGTAAGATATTAAAACCCATGCAGAGGTGTATTTTGACACCTTTCAAGCTATGGTGGGATACAGAGGGGACGTGACCTCTGAGCAGCAGGAGCAATACCTCTCTGCAGGTCACGGGGTTGACCTTTGACCTTTCCGGACGTGTCTCCATGGGGAGAGGAGCAGTGAGGATTCATGGGAAATACAGGCGACAGCAGGGGCCATGTCTTTAACCAGATGGCAGGCTTAGATTAGTCATGTCCACCCTGCATGACAAAAAGACAAGCACAGCCCTATCAAATCTGTCATTTCTCACACACAGCCTCTAAAGGTGAGTGATACAAATGCAAAAAGCATCATGGCATATTCTACAAAGTGACAGTGCGGTGGCTTGTTGTTCCGATCAATGATGTCTTCATCAGCCTTCCCAGCAGCGTGCAAGATAATTAGCTGAGTTTTGTGTTGACGACAACAAAATTTGCCCTCATTAAGGAAGGATGGTGAATCATTTTGGAAATTAAATTCAGATGCATTAATATTGTAGATGCATCAGATTGGCTTCCGAAAATGTTATGAATATTTGGACAGTTACAAAACAATGCATAAAAACTGCATAAAACATCTACCAAAAGAAAAAAACTTTTGGCTTAACTTGAGTCAAGTGTGGACAGCGGTTGAGATTTCTGTGTGATTTTTTTTTTTAAGCGCAGATGCTGCCCCGCAGCTGTTTATTTATTGGTCAGTTCAATCACAGTGCTGATTGTCTACACAGTGCTAAAACAACTACTAACCTCTAACCTTAAACGTAGTATAGCATTGGTAGAACATCTTGTTACAGTAGCATTACTGTTCCCAGTAGCGATCAGATTCCATCCGTGATTTTTCTGAACTCTGAACTGAATCCATGATTTTTTCTTGACAGGTTACTGTGATGTAGTTGACCAATGAAGTCGACTGTGGGGTGGAGTTTGCACTTAACTGGTTTGGGGAAAAATCAGTATGTTGTGTTTTCAAAAACATAAAATGAACATGTAGACTCAACTCAAATACCTTGTATAATAAAAACCTAACTAAACTAAGCAACTACCATTAAAATTAGACATGTAAAAGTAATTCTACAAATACTAGAACACTGAATACTAACAAATCCTCTATTTACTAATCTTTTTCAAAAACACATAAAATAACACTTAATACTCTGTCTGAGCATTGCCAAAAATTACCTCCAGAGGCTGTCTAAATCTTTGTCCTTAAACCCTAAATTATATACAGTATATCAAAATTTGTGGTTGAAAAGATTTTTACGTTCATGAAAGAAGTCTGTAAGTGATTTATTCGATCAAAAATGTTAATTTTAAAAACAGTAATATTGTGAAATATTAATATTTAAAATAACTTTTTCTTAATGGACTCTTATAAATTTACAAATGTTAGAACACTGAACGCTAGGGATGTGCATCTCATGACTAAGGCCGATACGATACGCATCTCGATGCATAGCCAACGATACGATACATTAAAGATACATATGAAGCAGCTACCGATGCGATGCGATACGATTCACCCCTGTTACGATGCAGTGCGATCCGATTTCAATTCGATTAGATTCAAAACAATGCGATTCGATGCAATACAGTGCAATGGAGAAAATATGATCACTTTTAATGCCTCGAGGCCTGTTTCATAAAACAAGTTAACCAAATAAGTCAGGCTTATTTCAGTTAGTCTGACCCATTGTCAAATGGTTTGGTTCCATAAAACAAATTTAACATGGGCCTAGATCAAGTTTAGTCACTGTGGCAACTTATGCTGGGAAACTAACCTGGTCTAAAGCAGGTCAAATAAATAAAAAATAGGGTACAACCAACTGTATTTAATGTATTGTGCCCAAAATGTAATGACCTTTTTTTAAAGATATATGAATACAATTTGATCAGCGGTTTCTAGCCATGCAGCATTTCTCTCTGGTTTTATGACAGCTGTACCTTTTATGGTTATTAGTAGAACATTAGAACATTACAATCTAAAATTGCTCTTTAAAGCATTAAAATAACTAAATTAAAAGTTAAAATCACTGAATTAAAAAATGAAAATAAATAATAAAGAAAATTATTATATTTTAACTCCTATAAGAAACGCACATTAACTCATTTGAGCTTAGTAATTAGTACTGAACTAGCTTACATTTGATTTACCTATTACAATAGTCCCTTTGCAGTTACTGTTATCATACAAATACACTTATATGTAGGTTTAAAATTCTACAAAAGACACAAGCTTACATTTGATTTACCCATTACAATAGTCCCTTTACAGTTACTGCTATCATAAAAATACACTTATATGAAGGTTTAAAATTCTACAAAATTCGATTGCGCGCCGTCTGTTTAACGTGTATATGTACAGCAGCGCTCGTTCACTCGCGTAAGCCTCGCCCACTTCTGACAGCAAAATGGATATATTTGCATGACTTTCTAACATTTACAGATGAAGAATATAACTGTGACATGTTTGTTATGCACTGAGGAAAACACAACGTCTCAAATGCATTAAACAGCACAAATATATTATATCGATTTGATCCATGATCGACATTAAGGGCTGCTTAAGAATAAACGTGCACAAATTAGTGAGATTGTGTGAACTTAATTAGTCATTTATGGAACCGCTTTAGCCCCGATTGATTTGTTAGGTTATTTCAAGTCATGTTTTGGACTTTAATCCCCGCTTTTCCTTGGGTCTCTGTAGTGTTGTGGTGATGCATCACAATCACGCAGCAGCAGTGATGAGAGAACGTGCTTGAGAGACAGTTTAGAGAGGAGAAATCAATCTACATTGATTAGTATGTACTACCGCATCCACTAGTAATTATATATTAATAAATCGTTTTTTACCGATGCAAATATGTTAGAAACTATGCATCGTGATATAAATGCCAACTTGTAGCCGATGCACACTTTTTAAACCGAAGCATCGCATCTTGAACTTTTTGCCGATGCACCGAGCGAATCGGGGAATCTTCCCATCCCTACTGAACGCTAATAAATCCACTAGCCTATTTTCTAAAATCAGTTTCCACAATTACTCTACCTGTCAACACAATAAAAATTACTTATGTTGTCCCAGCACAAATGGATTGTTAAAGGGTTAGTTCACCCAAAAATGAAAATTCTGTCATTAATTACTCACCCTCGTGTTGTTCGAAACCCGTAAGACCTTCGGTTCATCTTCGGAACACATTTTAAAATATTTTTGATGAAATCCAAGACCTTTCTGACCCCCCATAGACATCAACGCAACTACAGATTTCAAACCCATAAAGGTAGTAAGGACATCATTAAAATAGTCCATGAGACATCAGTGGTTCAACCACAACATTATAAAGCTACAAGAATACAATAATTTTTATGTGCTCAAAGAAAACAAAAGTAATGACTTCATTCAACAATTTCTTCTCTTCCGTGTCAGTCTTTGATGCACATTCGACACATGCGTGTGGTGCTCACCCACATAAAAAAGAAGAAGAAGAAGAAGAAATCATACAGGTTTGGAATGACATGAAAGTGAGTACAATTCCATTTTTTGGGTGTACTATGCCTTTAAGTGGATTTAATGCAATGAAACTGAGTTTTGACAGAATGTTCAAGAATTGTGTTACTCATTTTAATTAAGTAAACTGAACAAGCAGCAAATATAATTTTGTTAAGTGTAAAAGAGGCTAAACTTTTCTGACCTTTCAGCCATATGGGACAGATGCAGTACGACAGATTGCCGGGAATGTGAGGAACATTTTCGAAGCGAGAAGGGGAGCGAGAGGGAAGGAGAAAGACCATGGCCCTTCCAGCCCTAGAGAGAGCAGAAAACAGGACAAGGTCAATGTACTATGACAGACAGGAGCCAACAACTCTCTTTAATGTTGTTCCGTTAGGACGCCCCCGGTGCAAGCATCTTTCGTATCCTTTAGGAGCCTCTCTGCCAACACCTGGTGGGGGAGAGAGCTGCGGACCAGCTGCCAAACATGACATTTGCTGGCGAGGGCCACTGAACCCCAGCAGGTGACATCTGTGAAACAGTCTTTGCAGCCTTTCATCCCCCATGCCTGGCAGTGGAAGGGTACCTGCGCGAGGCCCCGGAGAGGGATAGATGAATGTACTCCGTCTCTCTCCCCCAGCTGGGGCTCCGCATAGCCACAGGGCCGTAGTGGCCCACGCTCCCCGGCTTCCAGAGGCAACATCTGCACCCACTGTTGCCTTTGTCCTCATCAGCAACCAATAACACGTACGTCACGGCCTTCCAGCACAATTTAAACAGGGGCTGATCATTACAGGGATGAATAAATACTATCATCATGAGAGGTTATTGCTTCATATCAGCTGTTTGATCAAATATGTATAACCGAGCTGGGCGTCTATGAGACGAATATCAAGCGCTGCCCGATCGTGTGCTGCCACGGTGATTTGTAGGGAAAGTAGTTGGCAGCGGATCAGAAAAATATTTCATTTAACAGCCGCTGACATTGACGAGGATGTTAAGAGCTAAATATTAAGGTGCTTTGCAACTTTATGTCTTGTAGGAAAAATGGAGTAAAAATGGCTTTTTCGTAATGCCTTTCAATGCACATTCTTTTGATTAATTGCAGCCCCTTATCGTCATATTTGAGTCATATTAAAATTAAGTCACATTTATTTATATAACGCTTTATACAATACAGATTATTTCAAAGATGTTTCACAGAAAATTAACAGTGTTAATGTTGTAAAATTCTTAAATTTTGAAACAAATTCCCTTTCATCTATAAAGCAGCTCTTTGGAAGATAATAGTGTCAATATTCAGCTCAGTTTAGTTCAGTGGGGTTTTTTTTTTCAGTTGTTCAGTAACTACCTATATTGCAAGTTCAATTCAGTTCAGTACAGCAGAAAATAGTGTCATTATGCAGCTCAAGTCACTTCAATGTTGATTCAATTCAGTTCAGTGACCTCAATGTTGTAAATTTAGTGCTTTTGGTTATTGAAGACTCAGACATCAGATTCTTGAAAATATATATTAAATGAAAATTTGCATTATAAGGTATTATGAAAAGCTTTAGAATGGAATAAGTCATGATAGGCCATGCATTACAGAGATTTGATGGGTGAGGAGTATTCTTGGGCATGTGGTAAAAGAAGTGTGGGCACATATAAGGGATTTATAAAACATTTGCAATATGATAAAAAACACCAATGTTAAATTCAATATTGATAACCAGAACTTATCTAAAAAGCAATATAGTCCATTAGCCTAACAGTAGGTTGTTTATGGTTGCTAAGCAATATAGCAAAATGGTGCATTAATATAAAATGCATGGTAAAAATATAATGACCTTGAACAAGCATCACATAGGTATTTACCAAAAATTATTTTGTTTGTGTGTGCATTGGGGGAGGGCTGGGTGGTCTGTAATCAGTAATAAATTACAACAAGTCTAGCATCATTTGTACCTGCTTCCATTTTAGTGTAATTGTTTTTGCTCAGCAACTTTAAATGAATGCTAATTACTCTGACACCAGTGCTCTGGCCCCGTGTCTCTGATGTCACTCAGTCTCCACGAGTTCCTGACAGCATTTCTTCCAAATGTGCTCGTAATTGGCAACCCATTGTGAACTGACACACAATTAAATCCAATTCTCATCATGCAGCCTTTACATTGGGTCAAGTTTAGAAACCATTATACAAATTGAGGGCAGACATTTACTAAGTGTTTCATAGTCCTTGAGGGTCTTTGTAGAGTCAAATTTAATAATTATTGTGATGGCCTGTTGGCTATTTTCACAAAAACATATCTACAGTAGGTCACTCCACAAAAAAAAAAAAGGGGAAAAAAATAAGTGTTCTTTTTAATTAAAAATAAGCTTTTAATGTTTATCTATAATCATCTCTAAAAAAGCAAAACTTAACACAACTGGTTCTCTTATTTCTGCAGTTTTAAGTCAAATGTAATAATTATTCGGATGGCCTGTTGATAATTTCTATGTGAATCTCACAAATCATATTTTTTATAACCTGTGATACATTTTTTCAGGATTTTTTTATTGTTAAATCTGTTATAACAATGTGAATCTTTACTATCCCTTTTTATCTATTTAACACATCCTTGCCGAATATTACTGTTTTTTTCTCTGTATTTCTGATCAAATAAATGCAGGCTTGATGAGCAGAAGACATTTCTTTCAAAAATATTAAAAATAACTTTTGAGTGGTACTGTATGTGCATATTAATCAAACTTTATCTAAGGTAATCCCTTTTTTTGATAAAGATGTTATTGTTGATGTTATTATTATTATTTAGCTGTTTTATTTCATTTAATCACAGTTCCAGAATACCACTTCAGTAAGTGCTTTTATCATTTTTCCCCCCTAGCTGGGTATGGGCAGGATTTCCCATTTAATCAATATTGACTACAGATATTGTCATATTATTGATATCAATAATATGATATTATGTATTGCCTTGTTACCTTAAATATATATATATATTAACCATTAAAAAAATGTTCTAGTGTGTTTGCTTTTTAACTTTGATCAGGGGCGTAGCCATCATTTCAGAAGTGAGGGACAAATAAACCATATATTGTCGCAATCGTATGTTTAATGTCTTCATGTTTCCAAACGTTTCTGTTTTTCTGTGAAAACAACTGTTTTCGTACAGCGATAGCTGGACGCTTTTGTCCATATTAGGAATTTCCTCGTACGACTTTCTGCGCGAGAGCACCCTCCGGCTTCGAGTATGAATGAAACATACACTGCATGAGTGTTTAGCGCTCCGTGATGTTCATCTCACCTTATTCTGGGTCCGAATAAAACATCAGATCATGCACAGACTATCCTGTCTCTTTGAATTTAAATCTATATTTATTCACACCGGCTCTTGAAAACCTCTATGCGAACACACTTGCCCGAAAAAGTGCGGGGGACGAATTTACATGATATTAAAAGTCGGGGGGGACACGTCCCCCGTGTCCCCCGCGTAATCTACGCCCCTGACTTTGATACAAACTTCTCTGCTTTTACTTTTGTAGCTATTTTGCTAGTCAGCTCCCGATGCGATTTCATTGATTGTACGCGCAGATTCAAAGCGTTGCGTCTGGGCACGTCAACGGTGCTTGCGCTCTTTTACACTCATAATAAAGCAGTGAATGATCTTTCCAGAAATCACCCTGATCGACAGAGCAAGTTTATATTTAGAATACATTGCAATCACTCCAAAATAGATGACAGCAACTCACACACCTGCATTAGGAGCTGTACTTCTTTGCGTGCCTATTTAGCCGTTTGCATCGCATAGTTCGCAGCACCTGAAGGATGTGTTCGTTACGCAAACATCCAGAATGTAGGACCCGCTTTGAAACTGCAACATTAATTGGTTTAATTGCAGATGAGTGACGATTCAACTATATCCAATGAACAATGAGGCTAGTATTTCTGCCCGTCTTGACTGGTGGACTAGCATATAGGGGATGTTACGGTTATGGAGGCCCCTCCTCAAAGCCTGAGGCCCTAGGCAATCGCCTGCATGCCTATAGCTAGCGCCGGCCCTGGGTGCTGTGGTCAGATGGTGTTTGTGCAATCATAGGGTTGATAGGGCAGAGAGTGAACAGGCTTCCCAATGCTTTGCTTTCATCTTCATTTTCGGTTTTGACCCGGGCCAATACCTCCCTGATGTGTCCACATAGGTGGGCTGCTGTAAACCCACAAGTGCCATTTTTAAAAAGGGCTCCTACCTGCTGTTCTCCTTCCTCTGCCACCTCCCTGGGTGTGAACCTCACCGTGTTGGCTGGCAAACAAAGCCCAACATGAGGCGTGCTCGAAATGAAAGGAGGCAAAGGAGATGAAAAGAGCAGAGAAGTGAGGAGCGCATAGCTCTCCAAGAGATCCACACATGTGCAGTCTCTGTGCAGAAGGGTGAGATCGTCATGCTAAAGATAGTGGTGCTTTGACAGCTCCCAACATCTTGAGTTGAAGTGTGCCATATGCTTAGTGTCTCTCAACTTTTTCAGTCGTTTGCAGTCTACCTTTCCGGTTGTATGCTGACTGAAAAAGAAAAATAGGAAATATGCAATTTCATCATTTATTTCAAAGCAACCGTAACCTCCTGTCTTTCGCACAAAGATCTGATGATACTTTTGCAAGTGTGATTTACTACCAGCTTCTAGAAGTCTGCTTTTAGGTGTCACAGTTTGCATTCGAATGTACCAGAACTATTGTCAGTAACACATCGTCCTACACATTTACAACTGCATAAATTATTAACTGAGGGCATGTAAATTGAATATAGTACTGTCACGGTGCGTGCGGGGAGATGAAGCGAGGACTCAAGTGCAGGAGAAATGATTATTTATTTTAGTAAAAAATGAAACAAAACAAACTCAAACCACCCCGAGGGGGAAAAACAGACAGGCAGGCCTAAAGCTGCACCACATGCAGACACGAAACACACACAATGAGAAATGACGGATCAGCACAGGATGACAGGCACCAGGAGAATAAATAGGGACCAAACGAGGGAGACACAGGTGGAGCAACTCAAACAATAACGAGGTAACAAGATGGGAGGGGCAAGACAATAGACAGGAGAGAGCACATGGCAACAGACAAACACAACACAAGCCATGTGCTCCCAGAACACAGTCATCTGGTGGCCCTCCTGGGCACACCCGCTGAAGACTGTGACAAGTACTTCGCGTTTCCATCCAAATTTGTTTTCACACCGACGACCTGCCAAGAAGCTGTTAGTTTCTTAAGAGGGAAGGGCAAAGGATTAAAAATATTTCAAGAAACAACCAAAAGAAAAAAAAAAACATGCATAACC